TTACAACATTCTTGCTTCTAACACCAGCAAGCTGTCTGTTGGCCCAGACCTTATATAAATGTCATTGGATTGCTATCTCTGTTAATGTTATTCAGATGAATAAGACCTATTGTAGAACACCGTGAACCGGGAAATCGGGAAAAAGTCGGAAATTAAAAATTACATATTTTAAGCAGTAAATTTGGAAGAGCTTATGAAACATTAGGAGGCCGGGTAATTACAGGTCATTCGGATGAGATCCTTTCCAGTTATTGGTTTAAATTTGATTCAATCTTTAACAAATACCGTCTCGAAACATTAATGATGAGCTTTGCAGGCATCAACCACTTTTGCTTACTGAATAGAAGATCGTTTGTTTAAGATGTGTTAATCTGAAATCCATAAAAAAATCCTTCTCAAAATTAAGTTGTTATTTTCATCGGTGAGAATGCCGCCGGGATTGAAATCTAGTAACAGCAAGTTGATCGGGAACTTGATCGTAATGTTTTTGTGATATAAGGAGCTCGGCGGCCTAGTGCCGACCGATTTTGCTTATTGATCAGAAAATTATGGGTGAAATCTCAAGTTCACATTATAGAGTTTTAGTGTGAACCGGATTTATTCTAAATATGAGATAAAGCGTAAAAAATCATGGGTTCAATCCCAAGCTCCTTCACATTATAGAGTTAAAGAAAGAATTGATCAAGTTTAAAAAAGTAGAATAATTGTATAACTTTAACGATGTGTTGGTTTAAAGGAAAACCAACGTAAAAGGTATACTAAAAAAATGATCTAGATAAAAAATCAGTATAACTTTTATTTTCCTGTTATTTATTTGATAAGATTTTGTTTTAAAGGGCGAACACGAAATTATTGCGACACATTCAACAGGGCATAACTTTTTTACCATTGGGTAAAAATCAACCAAATTTTGCACACTTTCTCATTGATGTGTATTGTGTACATGCTGTCAAACTCGAAGTCGTGTTTTTCGATTCAACGAAAATGGAGGTGAACCAACGCGAGTTGAGAGAACAAATTCTTTCCAAACACCTTTCCTGACCTGTCGCACCGGCAGTTGGGAAAAATGTTGAACATTCACCATTCAACCGTCTCCAGAGTGTTGAAGCGGTTCCAGGAGCGGTTGACGTTGGACCACGGCAAAGGAGCTGGAAGAAAACCGAGACCGGAGAACAAAAAGACGGAGGGAAAGGTGAAGCGGATGATTAAAGCAAATCCCAACGTCTCAAGCCGTGATTTGGCTAAAAAGATCGGCATGTCGCAGAGCTACATCCAGAATGCAAAGAAGAGAGCTGGACAACATACATACAAGGTACAGAACTTCCCAAACCGTAATGAGCGGCAACAATCGACGGCTAAAACTCGGGCACGGAAGCTCTACGAGAAGATGCTGACAAAATATGGCTGCTGTGTGATGGACGACGAAACGTATATAAAAGCCGATTCTAAGCAAATTCCGGGGTTGGAGTTTTTCACCGGCAAGAGCAAGTTCGATGTGGACGACAAATTTAAGAAGAAGAAAATGTCGAAGTTCGCCTCCAAATACCTCATCTGCTCTTGCGGACTGAGGAGTGAGCCTTTCGGTTCAAAGGGCACAGTAAATGGCGAGATTTACAAATCTGAGTGCCTCGAGAAGGGCCTTTTGCCGTTCTTGCAGCAGCACGACGAAGCTCCGCTATTTTGGCCAGATTTGGCATCATGCCACTATTCTAAAAGTGTCCTGGAGTGGTATGAGGCCAATTCTGTCCATTTTGTTCCAAAGGACATGAATCCGCCAAACATGTCCGGTGGAGCAGTACTGGGCAATAATGAAGCGGGAACTTCGGAAGAGCAAGAAGACAGTCAAAGACGAGAAGGACATGTTAAGAAAATGAAAAAAAAAAAACTGGGAAACTGGTACCGGATGACACAAAATGCGTTCAATTTTACACTCAAGGCTCCATCGATTAACTTTTCTTTTGATTTTTGAAGTAAATATATGTATAAAACTACCCTAAAATTTTGGTTTGATTCTAAACATTATAAGAAAATTGGCATGACATTTTCGGTGTCGCAATAATTTCGTGTTCGCCCTTTAATAGCGTGCTTCCTCAAAAGATAGATCGTGGAATAATTTCTGCTCGTGTCAGCGGAACGTCTTTTTGAAAAGGCCTCCTTCTGGGAGCGCCGTCCTGGGAACAAATACCACCAGGAAATATATAATATAATGATTTTCGAAGACGAATGTAAGAACAATACTCGATTAAAATGTCAAAAGGTTCTATCTACTTTTATCGAATCTCTTCATCGACTGTCTCTTTTGATAACCACACCTACGCAAACACATTTCGTGCTATTTTTGCCACACAGTTTGATAGCAGAAGATATTATCTTGCGGTTAGAACGTCGAACACAGCAGGTAATGCTTTTGAAGTTGAGTTATTAACGAAAGAGAAAGTCGATGAAGAGAATCGATCTATGCAGATAGGACCATTTGAAATGTTTATCTAGAATAAATGTGTGTAAACCGATTTGAAATATGTCACTTACTTTTAGTGAAAAAAAAAATTCCCAAAACTCCGCAATTTTTTTTTTTTGCTTTGATGGTGGGCTTGACCTTGAGCCAATAAATGCATTTCACGCATAAAGGGTGATACGGTCAAAATTTGGTCAATATCAACTTGACGTATTTCTTTCAATTTTGCATTTAAAAAACCTGAACACCCCTAATTTTGAAGGTGTGTGTGTGTAGAATGTTGCTCCTATTTTGATTTTGGAATTCACTCTTCAGTTGTCAAAATGCCGTCCAAGCAAGAAGAGCAGCGTATCAAAATTTTGCTCGCGCATCGCGAAAATCCGAGCTACTCGCACGCAAAGTTGGCAAAATCGCTAAAAGTTGCCAAATCAACCGTTACAAATGCAATTAAAGTGTTTGGGGAACGTTTGTCGACAGCCAGGAAGTCTGGATCGGGGGGAAATCGAAAACCGGAAGCCGCTGAGACGACAAAGAGAGTTGCCGGTAGTTTCAAGCGAAACCCTAACCTCTCTCTCCGAGATGCCGCAAATAAGCTGGGTGTATCGTCTTCAACCGTGCATCGAGCAAAAAAACGAGCCGGACTATCGACTTACAAGAAGGTAGTGACTCCAAATCGCGATGATAAACAAAATACGACGGCCAAAGCGCGATCCCGGAGGCTGTACACGACGATGCTGATGAAGTTTGACTGCGTGGTAATGGACGACGAAACCTACGTCAAAGCCGACTACAAGCAGCTTCCGGGACAGGAGTTTTATATGGCAAAAGGAAGGGGAAAGGTAGCAGATGTTTTCAAGCACATGAAACTGTCAAAGTTCGCAAAGAAATATCTGGTTTGGCAAGCCATCTGTACCTGTGGCTTGAAAAGCAGCATTTTCATAGCTTCCGGGACTGTCAACCAAGAAATTTACGTGAAAGAGTGTTTGAATAAACGTCTGCTGCCTTTCCTGAAGAAACACGGTTGTTCCGTACTGTTTTGGCCGGATTTGGCATCTTGCCATTACGGTAAAAAGGCCATGGAGTGGTACGCCGCCAACAACGTGCAGGTGGTTCCCAAGGACAAGAACCCTCCCAACACGCCAGAGCTCCGCCCAATTGAGAAATACTGGGCTATTGTCAAGCGGAACCTAAAGAAGACCAAAAAAACTGCTAAGGGCGAGCAGCAGTTCAAGGCAAACTGGCTTTCTGCGGCGAAGAAGGTGGACAAGGTGGCTGTACAAAATCTGATGGCAGGGGTCAAGCGTAAGGCCCGGCAATTCGGATTTGGAAAAGCGGAAGCCTAATTGAATATTTTTCCTGAATTTTATACTAATTGAACTTGAAAAAGAAATTTAATTTGATTTTTTAAATAAACGATTTCACCGATTTACACGCGTTTTCCCTTGACCAAATTTTGACCGTATCACCCTTTATGTGATTGTTTTGACGGATTTGGAGAAACACTTGAACTTTTTCCCCGCTAAAGAGAAACGCAATCATGACCTGAAATAAAATCATTCATCCAATATTGTTTTTCTTTTTTTCTAGGTCTGCAAACTTCTTGCAAAGTTCTAATTTTTCACCTCAAAATAAACTATTCAATGTAACTTTTCGAAAACATCACGAATTGTTGTGATTTTGATTTTGGTGATAGCTTGTCAGCAAAAGACCTATTGAACAATTGTTTAATTTTGTTTTGTTGTGTTTGCAAATTTTGCAAAAATACAAAACGAACCTTTTCCTCACTCAACCATGGGAAATCACTTACATTAATGTCGTGTGTTCGTTGACATTCGTTTGCCTCTTAACTTTTTTTCAATAACATAATTCCATAAAATAATGTATGAAGTAGAGGAAATGGATGTAATGTCGGCCTAAATACCCCTAATTTGGGCCCATACATAAATTCGGCAATCGACTACATTTTCAATAGCGACCAAAAATATCCAATAGTTCCGTACCAATGACGCGTCCATCTAGATAAAATTGATAAATAGCAGATTTTTTGCGATGGGCCCAATCTTAGATCCATAGGCCAACATTAGAGCCATTTACCTTATTACCTACAAAAGCTTAATACATTATTTTACGGAATGAATAAATGAATGCAAGTGATTTTCCATGCCTAAATCCACTTTACTCTTATCACATGGATTAGATGAACAAGATTTAGATGAAAACCAAATTGCAAAACTCATTTGAGAATTGAGGACAAATTCAATCAAATTAATGGAAAATCAAAATCGTTTCACTCTTCTACAACTTCGAAAGCTTCAATATCTCCAGCAGATGAAATTGAACTCAGGTACAATCTATAAGAGAGTAATATGCAAAGTTTATGATCAAATGAGTAGAGACGTAGGTGGAATTTCCCATCCTTGCTCACCCGGAATTAAAAAAAAAAATAATAATAAACTCAAGCTACACTTGTATCTACAAGCAAATGAAATCATCATCCCACAAGAAAAGCATTCATAAAAAGAAAAGAGTATATTTAAAAACTCACCGTTTACGTTGATGTAAGCGAGCGAAGCGGGAATTCCCGTTTTCCAGCGCGGTAACGTCACAAACAGGCGTCTCTTGTAGACTTCCAGTCCGATCGGAATTACATTTTCTGCGACGTACGCCCCCGAGCGGATGGCATCCGCTCGGTCCGCCTCGGACGGGTATTCAAAGTCAATTTGGCTCCACTGGTAAGCCACCCGGAGGTTATCGTTGCAGACGGCTGGCCGGAGGTACAGAATCACACCAACTAGCAATGGCACAATCGCACCCATTTCTGCAGCGAGCAATTTGTGATTCCGTTTGTTTTTCTCGAACTGTAGGCTTCCGTCTTTTTCTTCTTATTATGCTTCTTCTTACAGCAGCTAGAGCTATTAGAGGTTATGCGTATATGCGTAATGATTCACGTGGCTCAAGTTCGCATTCAAACGACCTGTCGAGCCGCAATCATTAGGTCACCACACCACTTTGAGCTGGGCTATTATCGAATGGGCACACGCAATCCCCTCTACGATCACACTAAAGGCACCCTCTGACCTACGGAGACGTCAATCAGCGCAGCGTGACTGAGATAGAGAACGCACTCACACTTCAAATCTTGCAGTTTGACCACAAATGACTCTCCGGGTAACACTAATTGCGCTTACGTAACAAACACTTTTCTTCATGGATTCCCACACACTCTTTTGGCACCGCAACAAACTGAATCACGATCGGGAAGATTTTTCGGATCTTTTACTTGATACAAAAGAGCATATCGGAATACAACACTCCGGACAAATTGCCGGTACGATGTGCACGCCGAGAGGCACTGAATCAGACTAACGCTGGCTGAATGCCTGGGAAACCGAGCGTCTCTCTGCTGGGGCTGTGTGCCTCCTAGAATAAGCCAAGTCAAGCAGCACTATCGGTGGCGGTGGCGTCGTTGTCGTCGGGTTGGCTGTGGGCTGTGCTGTTGTTGTTGGAGGAAGAAAGGAACAAAAAGCATGCATAAGGTTAACCACTTTTTATTTCGCTAACTGAACTGAGGCGTGCTGCGCTGCTGGATCACGTTTCGGGTTTCGCGTCTGCTTTTACTGATTTTTTCAGCGCGTTCAAGTCTTTGGCAGGTTCTTTCGGTGCGGCGGGGCTGCTGAATGTCTACTAGAGAGGAACCATACCAACATTGCCTTCATTGTCGAGTGTCTAGGATTTGATTTTGACAGGCAACGTTCGAGAAGGCGGCTATTTTTAACGACTCATTGACTGCTGCTTTGGAAGGGACAAGGTTTTGGATTCGACTAATTTTTTAGCTGACATTGACTAGGTGTATTTTGCCTCTGGGAGATGGGAGATGATTAGTCATTCGGAACGGTGATTTTTTTTTTTTTAAGATGTTTGTAGTTGCATTTTGCGCAGGGCTGTCATGGTGGTTAGTCATGGTTATGCAATGCGTAACTAGCTCCGTAGAATAACTTTTAGTCGTAGAAATGTCGATTTACACGTGCTCCTCACAGAACTGATAGCAGGGTTAAGTTGTTATCGTCGTCACTGAGGTTAAGTTAAGTTTTCGTTATTAGGGAGGCTTTCAACCTGCGACTGGTTCGCCTCGGGGACTCGTCAGTGAGATTATCGCCGGGATCGAAATCTAGTAACAGCAAGTTGAATAGGAACTTGGTTGTAATTGTTTTGTGAAATGAGGAGCTCGGTGGCTTTGTGGTGACCGATTTTGCTTACTGAACAGAAAATCATGGGTTCGATGTCAAGCTCCTTCACAGTATAGAGTTATACTTAAAATTTGATAATATGATGCAAAGCGTAATCAAATTCAGTTGAAGGGACGATTAAGTTTCCGTTCAACTTATTGTTACTAGGTTTCGATCCCGGTGGCTACCTGACCGACGAAACTTTTTAACGTGGGGAGATCACCTTTTCGTGGTACGTTACTTGATGTAAGATCTATCACCGATTACTAGTTCTGACTATTTCAAACTAGGGGAACAGGATTTTTCAGTAATCCAAGGAACACATCTTAGTCCTTGTTACTTTTTATGCCTTGTCGATAGTAACAAGACTCGGCTTGGTCCACCGAGGATGTTCTTGAAACAAGGAAAAATGAGTTAGTTAGTCTCCATCTATGTGATTCCTAATCTTCTATACGTTTTTCCCTAGGTTGAAGTGGTTAAGACTATGGTTCTGATGCATGGTCATAATCGGTGTTATTGTTTAATTTTGTTGCTAAGGAATCCAATTTTGACTGACAAAGGGGCGCGTGGGTGTTCCAACACTACGAAGGGTATTTAGACCTTTTAATTGAAATCGATTCCTTGCGATGAAGGCAAGAGTGACAACTGTATCAAAACCGAACACTTCATCATGATTTCTCAATAGTGATGGAGTAATACGGTATGGACTAAAATAAGGACACGGGATATAGCAATATCAAACAATAGATCAAATTACTGGTCGCAGTGGTGTTATGTCCCGAACAGAGGAAAAAAAAACTTTAAGGAAATTTCAGGAAACTAATAGAAGTTACCAGGATTGAAAGTAAATTTCGAGAATTTCATAGGAGTCATCAACAGACTACAGGAACATTGGGGAAGTACAAGGAACTTTTGCAGTACTTCTGGATCTTATGTAATACTTCTGGAACTTCAGAAAAGTTTCGAAAAATTCAAGACGGTTTCATTAACTTCAAAGAGATACGGAAAAAGTCAAGAAGTTCTGAAAATTTTAGGGATATCTAGAGATTTTAAAGGAAGTCCATACAACTTCATAAAAGTACAGATAACTTGAGGTAAATTATGAAAACATTATACAAAAAGTTTCAAGAGCTTCAGGAAGCTTACAGATCTTAAGGGCAATTCCAAAGTTTCGAGAACTTAGGGAAAGACCAGACTTTTGGTTAAACTTCAGAAATATATCAGGAATTTAACAGAAGAACAGGGAACTAACGGGGGCAGCAGAATTGCGAACGTCAGGGAAGATTCATGAGAATACCTAGTATGTTTTGGGATCTTTAAATAAACCCAAAGAATTTCAAAAAAGTTTAGAGAATTTTAAAGAAATTCCGTTACCTCAGCGAAGATCAATGAACTTCTAGACAGTTCCATTAACCTCAGGAATATTGTGGGAACTTTTAAGAAGTTCGGTGGAATTCAGGGAAACTCAAGGAATTTATGAAAGCTGGAAAGTTGAAGAATTTAAGGGAAATCCAAAGAGCATTTAAAAGTGCTTATAAATTCAAAAAAGCCAAAAAATATTTTCAGAAGTATCATGAAGTTCGGGAAGTTCCAATTATTACGGGATCCTCAAGTCTGATCGTTTAACATCTGGAAGATTTTGGGAACTCTAGAGAAGTTCCAATAACTTTAGTAATTTTTTTACCAATTGCAGGGCTGGTAGCGATCACTGCTGTCAAAAATAGTGATTTTAGTGACCATGTTGAAGAAATAAGTGACTAAATAGTGACTTATAGTTGTAAAAATAGTGACCAAAAAGTGACCTAAGAGAAAATAAATGTTTGATGTTTTAGACTTATGCAATAAGTATCTCATAAACACTTATGTACGCTATGAAACTTTAAAGCGAAAGATTCAATAGAAAGTTTATGGCCAAACCCACGGTATTAGTCAGAGTGCCTACTAACTGTAAAAACCTGGAAAACCGGGAAAACTTCAGGAAATTTTATTTGTCCTTAAACTACCTGGAAGGCTACAAGAGTTTAATAATTTTCTTACTAATGATATAAAAAAAATAATGAATTTTAAAATACAATAATTATAATTTTCTCGTTATTTTCATTCACACTTTGAGCTTTATAGATCCACAGTGGACTAATCTTCAGTAACTAATAAATAAATAATAAAAAACAGAGGCTTGAACATGCATATTTCCTATCAATTTTAAATTTGAACTAGTTCTGCACTTAAAAGCTATAACACTTCAAGAAATTTTCAAGAATCTGGACTTAAAATCCATGGACTGTTTTAAATTTTCATACAAATTCTAAGGACCTCATTTCAAGGAAGTTCTGAAAAAAAAACATTCAGAAAAACATCAAATGCAATCTGATTTTAAGGTAGTTCTGAGGAATTTTAGATTTCTTGTGAAGCCTGATAGTTTTGAGTAGAATTTCAAGAAACCCTGAATTAAAAGCAATGTTTAATGAAAACTCTGAAAATTTCTGAGGACCACAACTCCATCAGAGCAAAATTCCTATGGCCTTCTGAGGATAATTTTGTGTTTGTGCGAGAAAACGAATCTGGAGCATAAGACCTTGGAATCTTTTTTAAAATACTAAAATGAGGATTACAATTAAATCTGAGAGTAACTCCAGAACATCTTCAAAGGGATTCGGAAAATAAATTCAGGAGGGCTCGCCAAACAAATTATGAGCAGAAATCTAAGGAATTTGTGAGGAGAAATGCCAATGAATTCTTATGCGACTTACAATGTAAGTAGAATTCCAAGGGAAGTTTTGAAGTTCTTTTGTAGTTTGAGAAACTAGCCGAATGTTCACAATACTTCTCATCAAATTCTTAAACTTCTGTGAAGTTTTCGGAGTTTTTCTAAATGTCTGCAACTTTTGTGCTCCCGCAATGTTCATGGAATTAGAACGAAATAATTAATAAAATTCTATGATTTTCACTGAGGTTCTCAAGATTTTTTTGAAGTTCATGAAACATCCCTTAAATTATCGACACTAATTTGAAACTTCTTCAATAGTCTAGACTTACCTGCCTAAACGATTATTGAATTTCTTTAAAGTTCTCTAGACTGCCCTGAATCTTCAGTATTTTTTTTAAGAATCCGCAACTTTACTGAAATGATCTGCCTTGAAGTTTTGACAATTTTCCTTAAGTATTATAACCATTATAAACGCTCACTAATTTTACCTGAACTTATGTATGGTTACCTTAAGTTCTCTAAATTTTATTAATAACCCGGCACATTTAATGGTATCTATTCATAATTCCCTGCCGCTTCTGACGTTTTAGGATCAATCATAGAACTCATGGAATACCCCAGCATTCTACGGAACTCCTTGTAAGTCTCTGCAAATTTGCTTAAGTTAATGGAATTATTCTGAAGCTATCTGTTCGTCCTTGAAGTACTCGGAACTTCGCTGAATATCATGAAACTATCTAAAAGTGTCTAAATTTATTAGAAGTTCACAGGAATTTCTTGAAGATTGCACTGCTTGCTAAAAGTTCTCGCATTTTTTTAATTAATGGAAATTCGTTGATTTTCTCTAATCAATTTAGCTAAATTTTCGTATTTTTATGTTCTTGAAATCTCCATGATATAACACACTTAAAATACTCTCACGTTTTCCGGATGTTCATATAGTTTTTATCACGTTCCAGAAATTTTCTCGGAGCTTTGCTGAAGTTTCCGGAAATTCCCTGAGTTTCTAACAACTTCTTTAAGGTTTCTACAATTTCCTTGCAATTATTTAAAGCTTCCCTCAAGCTATCAATTCTATTGAAGATCTCGGTTCTGCTGCTCGGAAATAAATGGAATTTCCTTAAACACCTTTAAATTTCCCTCAAATTAACTGGATTTCTGTGAAGTTTCTGAAATATTTCTGAAGTTTTCCTAAATTCTCTGAAGGGCTCTGTACTTACTTACTAAAGGATCTTGTGCACCACCAGCGGTGCAAAGGGCCAACGTGAAAGACTTCCATCCTGGGCGGCTGCTCGCTTTTGCCTTGACCCAGGTCCAGGTCAGATTCCTATCGGCTTGCTTAATACCCTTATTGAGGCTCCGCCTCGATGAGCCCCTGGGTCTGCCTCTGCTGCGATGTCCTGCCGGATTCCAATCCAGCGCTTGCTTGCAGATTTCGTTTCCGCCCCGTCGAAGTGTGTGGCCGACCCACCTCCACTTTCGCTCTCGAATTTCTGTTGCTATCGGCTTCTGATGACATCGACGATGGAGCTCGGCATTCGAGATACAGTTGTGAGGCCA